GTCCCAGCAGAGTGGGCAACCTGCCCCAGTGTGTTGCCTCAACTATCACGTTAACGTGTTTGAAATCAATTGAAAGATTATACATAAACAGGAGGGTCTCCCTTCGCTCCTACCTGAGTTACCCCATCTCCATGTCAGGCCCTTTAAAATACATTCTATGTACCCAAACCGGATCAAAATGTCCTCATTTTGATAACAGGTTCGCAAACAGCCTGAAGTTCAAGAATTAAGGGAATACCAGAGAGAAATGAGAAATGTAAGTGTATCTGTTTATATTTTTACACGCCCTAGCCGTCGTGACAGGTGTTGGAAAGGGAGGGTGAAAGGAAAAATCACGTCCATCGCGTTCTTTCACGCCTGGTTTGCCGATTCCTCCCTGGGGATTTTTCCCTGAGTGGCCCGTCCACTTTTGAAACCTATAATATATTTTTTTTACACGAATCGGCCTTCTAACGTGAACCCGCTGACCAAAAAAGCATCTGTTTTAAACCTCGGTGGTTTAAGGCTCGGTCCAGGCGAATGCGGGTACGAAAAAACTGCAGTTTCAACAACGCGGGACTCGTATGGACTGGGTCTGACAGCCCTTTCTTCAAAATTTGAAGGATCGTGTCACGCGCTTCATAAAATTGCAGAAGTAGTACTGCGTGAAACTCGTCCACCAACACCTAGTTACTACAGCAGTTATGATGTATGATATTCTAGATATGTGAGAACACGATTGTACGCTTGCCTTTCTACATCTTTGTACTGATGATTGTAAATGAAGTGCACATTTTACGGCAGCAGGGCCCTGTGCATTAGAACAGCTTACCGCTAGTTGTCGGCAACATCCACTAGCGACATTACGCCAACTCTAAAACACTAAAAATATACAAGGTGATAATAGAAGCTAAAACTACAAATAAAAACTAATGTAAACTACCAGTAAAACTAATATAAACTACCAGTACTCTTGATGAATTTAGATCACAGTTCAAACGCCTCCCATGAGTTTTTAGTTTGTTTATATGCTTACTTTTACTTTCGTAGTACTTTTTCATTTACTCAGGGCTGGTGAAAATACGGTAGTCATCAAGTTTGAAGTCTATTCATTCCGAAGCTAGTTTTGTCATCAATTTGTCAAATTTCCTTCTAGTCGGCTAACTTTCCCTCTGAATGAGTCACTGATGAGTTCGACTCACGCGTTATTTTTTCATTGATGAACAGAGTGCGTGCTTTTCTCAATGCTTTGTGAAGCCTAATCAGGCTGCCTAATCAACGCTTATGCTTTTTGCAATTTACATCGAATTTAAAATTATATCTTCTCGAAATCCCATGTGTATCCTTATTTTCGCCAAGAACCATACTCTTTGAATGTGACCAATCTATTCGTTGATTAACCATCGTTGAACAAAGAGTACGTGCTTTTCTCACATACAGCTCCAAGAAAAGAGTTATTAAAAACATTTCTCATGCTGGTTTGAATTTTAATCTAGCGAGTGTATAAAAGGAGTGACAATTTCTTCTTGATTTAATTGTGTAAAGCAAGAAACCTCCGTACCCTGGTGCAGTGAAGACCAAACTCAGCTAGATGATCTCTGGTCTGGAATGATAGTCAAGATTCACTTCTGCCTCCTTGAAAATGCCAGGTTTGTTCGTAGTTCAACCGTTGTCTCACGTTTTGTTCGTTATGCTGTCTTGTACATTTACTGCTGAAAATAAATCAAGTAGACGAAACGGTGTTAAGAGGAGCAATTTCTTTAACGATTCTCATTGGTTAATTTTTGTTGATGAAAGAAATTATTCTTTTATTAAATCAAGACGACTGATTTTCTGTCCTTTTGCTATGTTCCTTCGATGGATGTTGAACAGGAGGGACAAACTGTAACTTTTATACGTGTCATCAACAAGATAAACTCCGGTTGCGATGATTAGGGTCGGCCTTTTTTTGTTAATGTCTACAAGTTTAATCTTTCGCAGTAATTAAAAGAAGTGTTCCTTTGTACGGACTAAACGCGTATAAGATACATGCATCCGGTTTAAGTATAAATTATCCTTTGATGGCATGCGATGCCAATAAACGACTCCCAGGCGATAAGAAAAGTGCTGATCCGATTTGCGAATGTATTTAATGCTTGTCTGGTTTCACTAAGTTTCAGTTCGATTGGGAATCGTCATGGTACCTAAAATCTACCAAAACTAGGACTACATGTATAGGCATAAATCTTTGGTTGCTGCCTGGAGTAGGTTTGTTTTATTTCAGTTTTATCCCCGGTCCATGTTCACTGTTAATGTTTGCTTTGAACATAGTCTTTCTACATCTCTTGTGGTCTCGTAAAAGTAATTTTTAGTTTAATTCACAAGAAATTTCGTTTTATAAATGTGATTCGAGAGAAAGATTAATTCGACAACATGTTCAAAAACTCTAGATAAGACTTTCCACGTACTTTAAGATTTTGCAGTGTGTCTTGCTTAGCGGAAAGGGCGTAAAGGGCTTGGCTTGCACCAGAGGGGAATTAACACTGCTTCGGGACGGTTCAGAAAAGAAAAATAGACAACAGAGGGGCAGGATAGGTGTGAAAAACATGGTAGCGAGAAACCATTTCTTAAAAGTGCAGGAATTAATGCTAGTAATTACAACGACAAATAAAACTTTCTATTTTTTGACAGGTATCCCAATAGTGAAGAGCAGAACAATTCGCCAAGAAGGAAAGCTTTGAATATTATAATAAAATGAACTGCGATCTTCCTTAACAAGGATATGCAGCCAACTCACTTGTGTGTGTATGTCATTGACTATTTCCGTACATTGTTCGTGGTTCGCATTTACAAATTTAGCTTATACAATGGAAAGTTGTATGCGCCCTAGGTCAAAATTGACGTTGAACATTAATACCTAAAATAAATTCATAAATGAGAACCACAAAAAAAAGATCTAAACTAAAGAAAAAATATCCTACCCCAAGATACCCTTAAAACATTACAAAAAGAAACCAAGAAAAAGACAGCAAAGGAGTAAGGTAAGTAAAAAAAGGTAAAATTAAACAAGGTAAGTGTCTTTTTATCTTACTAAAACTATTAAGCCCAGGGGACTAAGACTAGACCCGCCTAGGGGGAGCGCCCAGGGGACTAAGACTAGACCCGCCTAGGGGGAGCGCCCAGGGGACTAAGACTAGACCCGCCTAGGGGGAGCGCCCAGGGGACTAAGACTAGACCCGCCTAGGGGGAGCGCCCAGGGGACTAAGACTAGACCCGCCTAGGGGGAGCGCCCAGGGGACTAAGACTAGACCCGCCTAGGGGGAGCGCCCAGGGGACTAAGACTAGACCCGCCTAGGGGGAGCGCCCAGGGGACTAAGACTAGACCCGCCTAGGGGGAGCGCCCAGGGGACTAAGACTAGACCCGCCTAGGGGGAGCGCCCAGGGGACTAAGACTAGACCCGCCTAGGGGGAGCGCCCAGGGGACTAAGACTAGACCCGCCTAGGGGGAGCGCCCAGGGGACTAAGACTAGACCCGCCTAGGGGGAGCGCCCAGGGGACTAAGACTAGACCCGCCTAGGGGGAGCGCCCAGGGGACTAAGACTAGACCCGCCTAGGGGGAGCGCCCAGGGGACTAAGACTAGACCCGCCTAGGGGGAGCGCCCAGGGGACTAAGACTAGACCCGCCTAGGGGGAGCGCCCAGGGGACTAAGACTAGACCCGCCTAGGGGGAGCGCCCAGGGGACTAAGACTAGACCCGCCTAGGGGGAGCGCCCAGGGGACTAAGACTAGACCCGCCTAGGGGGAGCGCCCAGGGGACTAAGACTAGACCCGCCTAGGGGGAGCGCCCAGGGGACTAAGACTAGACCCGCC